CATATTGGTTTTTGGGTTTATGACAAAACTCCCTTGCACGTATGCTCCGATGCGAGAGAACTCTAGCGGAGCAAGTTTACACGTTGAACTTCGATTAATCTTGAAGGGCAGCTTGTCCTTGAAATTCTCGTGAATAAAGTCAACAATCCTTTCCTTGCGATCCTTACGGTATCTATCACATCTTCTCAAAGTGAATCACCTATATTTTTTGAGGATAATTGTATGCAGAGTGAACGAATTACTTGTGTGCTCTTACACGCTATTAGTGACTAGTCGCCCATTATAAATAGTTGCGCAAGAAATTATAGACGATGGATAGATTCAAACCCAAAGCTAATATAGGTACTTGCAGGTAGCAAACTGTTGTTTCTGTAATGATTTGGTGGTTACAGGTTTGCTTACTAAACTTACAAATACGTAAAGTGCTAGGGGTAAAGACGTTTTGTCTCATGCTGGGAGTCAGCAGTCTGAAACAATGCTTATTGGCAGTACCTCACGTAAAGCTCAAAACAATTAGTCCTCTGTATAATGAGTTTTGATCTATCGAGTTCACAATAATGCCGATGGTCAAGTCAACAGTAGTTAAAGAAGCAGCAAAAACTGTCCGAGCACCTGAGTAATTGTACCTTCACTGCTCAGTTTTATCATGCACTTCGAGAAGTCTCTATTAAATCTAATATCCAGGAAGCTTTAAGCTTTAAAACATAAGAATTATGAAAAGCCCCGTCGTTTATGCACAACAATCAATTGCCTTTCTATTGTCAGTCTCATAAGTGGCAGATATAAAAAATCTTCCACTACTTAGACACAGAAAAAGCACCTTCCTTAATTAATAGAATAGTATTTGAAGCCTATGCACAAATTGGTTTACTAGTATTCACAAGCATGCACTAGTACGATGGTATGTTTCAATGTCAGTCATAACAGCAGAAGCGACTGTAAGACCATCCCTTTACCAAACCGAACAGTTTCGCTGGGATAAACAGAACTCAGCCTCTTATTTGTCGTATGGCGTGTGACCGTTCTGTCAGCATTCATACTCCCACACTTTTCGCATGTGAGGGCAATTGTGTGCCCATGAAAGCTTCGGTTGGCTAGCGGCACATTATCCTCATAGGGCTAGTTGGCTTTTACCATGAAGAAATCGTTGACGTCACGTGGCGGCCACTGTCAAATTACTGCTCGGTCCCTCCTCGGAGCGATTGCAGCCTTTCCGTTCAACAACGAATAAGTTCCTCTTCACCCTAGTCTAGCCCATCCCTGAATCTGCAGCCACTACCCAACACATGCACATATATATAAATGTAGCTGATTATTGTCAGATGGTCGTGGCCGTATGTACGATGCCGTTGCGACCGAAGCAGCTTTTTTTATTTATAGGCTAGATCCTGTCTAAAAGGAAAAAAGGACAGACATTGAGGGTCCGGGTGTAGCTCAAAATCATTAAACTGTAAAAGAAGCTACCATTATTACTACAAATAGCAATAATAGTTCCGGTTTGCACCAAGCTTCGTTACAACGCACATTTGAACTAGGACATAAATGTTATTCTAGAGAACGTTCAATTAAAGATGAAAAGGCTTTTTGTTATTTTACAATGATAACATGGCCTTCTACAAACTGTCGTTATTCAACTAAATCACATAACCTACTGATAATTTCGCATAAACTACGAAATAAAATTCATTTCATAATTATGCTATTTGTGCTCGAGCATTTAACGATTCTATAGCACAGTCTACATTACAGATCTCTCCTTCCTCTTTCTATCTCTCATGTAGCTCAATGTCATGTAGTTCAATAGTGATGTGCGCTTCGCTTATACATTTTGAGTAGCCATTCTTGTCATGTGTCTCCATACGAAAAGGTTAAACCGTCATACCGTCAACATAACTGCGCCAGGGTGAACAAGTGGCTCTAGGCTGACGGTGATGGCGACCGCTAAACAAAAACCGCAAGAAAGTCGCCAGCACCTCAACCTACATACTTTCTAGAGTAAATAGATGATAAAAACAATAATAATAACTCGAAATGATGATGGGAACACATCCATGTTTATGCTTATTTTTACGGTCATGGGCGAAGCTTATAACGATGTATTGGTCGTGGCGCACGTGTAGTCAACGGACGACTTTTCGTCCCTTGTGGGAATATCCGCGCCGACAAGACGCTACACGCTGTCTGACTGGCTCGTTCGTCCACCAAGCAACTAGCGGTAAAACAAGAGAGGGGAAGGATGCCACCAAAAACACTAAAAATCCAGTTGAGCCAGAAAATATTTATTGTCATGACTTTCCTCACTCGTCTCCACTAGCTCCCCTGACGCCCGCCATGGGCAGTATCAACTATTTTTCTTGTTTAGATGGGCAGCAGATGCGGCGTGACCGGACACACCTGCCTCCGAACAGCAGCACTGCCAACAATACAGCATAACACCGACAACACCGACAACTATACTGGTTGATATTTTGACGATGCATATTAGATCATCTAAAACAAACATTGTCTATAACAATACCATAAACATATATCTCAACTCCGCTAAGCTGCTTGCTCACTGTGCAGTTGTGTGTGCAGCTTCCCGCTACGTAAAAATGGCTATATTTTTCAGTGGAGATAGGCATTTGAAGTTGAACGCCACTCGGACAATGGCACGGTTGAACCTGCGGCGCCTTACTGGGTTGTTGTCAAATTGCTGGTGTAAGATTGCCCGTAGAATATGCTTTGCTGCATGTGTCTTAATAAGAGCGCAGAATAAACGTCTTCGTACAGAGCCAAAAAAATGTGGACAACAGCTTAAAAATGCTCAGGCCTATATATGCTTGTTTTCGTAATGGCGCTACATCCAAAGCTATTCCAATTGACTAGACGAAAATATGATGTCATTGGACGGAATAAACCGTTATGCTCTGGAGGGCTTCATTCAAAGAGAGCGGTAAACTTTGAATGCTCATAAAGAATTCGTATAGGAGTCACGCTTAAGCGTATCAACTCCATCTCCCGGTTTTACTCACTAACGGTCAGTATCTTTCTCACTCCTGAATGATTTTTTCCAGCTGAACAAGCATTTTACTCAGAACTCAGGCAGGTTTCGCCGCTGTGGTACATCTGACTTCCTATTTTTGCAAAATTTACGGTAGTGTACGCGACTTAGAAATGAAACTGCTCGTGTCAAAATGCCTCAAAGCGGTCTGAAGCTCTTAATTCTCTATTATACTATTATTACCTTTCTCCTTTTCTCGGTCGTTTCCCTGCCTTACGCTCTGTGCCTGGAAGTAGAGACACACATGCAGACAATTTGGTGGATAAATCCTGTTATATCATACGCCCTTATGTAACATCATAGAGGCACGAATCTTTCTGCAGAATTTTTTTTGCTTCAGTTGAATTAACGTGCGCCTTTTTTGTCTGCAGAAGAAGGTATCTGCCTATCCTTTTTTTGTTCGGGGCAGGTCATTGGACGATCGTATACATTCTTTATGGTCAACTCACTACAGCTGGCAACTGTCAATTACATAGGATGAATAGAACTTCAGCAGGATTGCGTGTGTGATTAGCAGATTAGACATGTACCGAATGAGATTCATAATAGCCGGCCTTGTAAACGAGCGCATATGCAGATAAAATTCAACTGATCTATTCAGCTACGGTCTCCATTTAGTCGCCGGGTTCGTCCAAATGGCTTTAGGCGGGGCTACAATCCGTAAAGAGATTAGCTTCTTTCCTTATTACTAAACAGTCATATGCATCTGTAGAATGAGGGCTGTCGTGGTGCCTAAGCTCACCGGAAGTGATACCATCTCTAGCCTTCTTATTTGCGTTTGAAATAAAAAAATGCCAATACACCTTGTCTTCCAGGTTCGGCAACGAGCTTTTAATGCAACCTGCCAAAGATACGCAGACGGAATACATCAGTAGCCAACAAGTTTCCAATGCTACATTGGAAATCATGTTTTGAGGGTGAGAAAGAGTGTCACATATCAACTGCCAATTAGTATAAATAGAATAGGCAGAATATGGGCCCGCTCGTAGACCATGAAGCGCTGGGTTTCTAAAAGAAAAAAATTAGAATTTAAGAACCGACCTCGCTTAGCTTTTATAATAATAATAATAATAATAATCATAATCATAATAATCATAAATAAAAAAAGAGATCTGCTTGCATCTATTAGTGATTGTGATACCTTTATCGATACCCATTCGACCAAACCCTTATGAAAACGAAACTAGGGTTCTTCAATAAGCTCCCGGCGATAACTGTGTCAAAACACAAATTACAGTTCACACTCTAATGTTCGGTATACAATGATCGACTCAGCAAGCGAACGGCATTTCGCATTTGCTAAACCAGCTAAAAGAAGCCAATAACATTGTTACGTTAGGTGATATAGATTAGCTTAAATACCGATTTGGCAAACATAGTTTTTTTCAGCACCGAAATGCTCCTTGATTGTTTTCTTTTATTAGGTGACCTATGCAAACTGAATTTATCACTCACGTGTATATCAATTTTAAAAGGCCTCGACTAGTTTCCCTAATAACCAGTAATCTATCCCTTTTCTAGCTGTACGTAAACACGACAACAAACATTACAACAGGTAAATCTTCCAAAATTAAGTAAAACGATCAATTAATGCACACGTATAAAATATCTATCGAATCACTTATCATAATACTAAGTCTTAAGTGAACCTATACGCATCTTGCAAACAAAGTTCTCTTGTCTGATGCGTGCAAGTGGACATATCTGCAAAACGATATCAGGAAAAGGTAGTACCAAGACAGGATGTCGAATTTTAGCGATTCACTTTTCGTGAAACAGAGAAAAAGGCGAAACCAATAAACATTTCAGTGAATGAACAGAATAAGACTCACTAGCTATGCTTAATTTATAAAAAAAAACTATTCAAATAGTAATAATAATACTGTTATGGTTATTATTAGTACTAGCAGATCGCAAAATAGGCCTGCAAAAGGGTGCCTGTAATCTGTTTAGTCAATCTAGAAATTCAATCAGAGGCTTTATTATCTAACTGTAAAGCCAACAGTTATCCGACTAAATGCAACACATTATCAATTACAACGTCTTTATTTATATTTACATTCTATTTATTCTTTTGTAATAAGAACTCTAACTTGATGAAACCACCAGGTATGTACCATCTTCATCATAACGGTCCTATCATCATTGTGTGCTGTCATTTTTCGCACCTTGCGACTCGGGAAGGCTTTTCGAATCCTTATTCGCCTCTTCTATTTCAGCAACAGTAATATGGGAACCGTCGTCAGATGCGGACGGAAAATAGTCATTTACGCGAAATAGTTCAGGTGGTTCAAACCGCACCTGGCGGCGATACTGACCGCCTGATGAACTGGAAGGATTCGCCGAGCCTAGCGCGCTCTGGAACACCTGCGGCGAAGATTTGGTTAACTTAAGCGGCGCCCATTGCTAGATTAAGTGTGCAATATATATAGCTACTTAAAATCCGATGCTACAGGAGTAATAACGGGCACAAACATTTGGCACGGATTAACCATCATAACTGTGAATAAATTTATTAGGTTTAAAAAGTTTCAAGAGCAGGGCACAGAAAGATGGCTAGGCTATCCACAGACGAATACTACACCAGCGACGATAGTTATGCCCAGGGCAGCAGATCGTTTGGAATCGTAAACGAAGCAACGGATTCCTGCGGAACGGCACAAGCGATCTGCCCGATACGGGTGTACTCGTGCCGAACAGTTCTCTCTCACAAAATATACGTATACATGTAACTTTTAACGTACTTTGAAGATTTTCTGCTGGTACGAAGTTATAAACAGGCTCTCAGCCTGCTCGACTTTGCTTTCCATAGCTGCCAGCGAACTTCGTACATCACAAACGAGCGCCTCCAGCTGGTCAACTTGGGAATATACCTGTTTCCGTCAACATTAAAAAAAGCCCAAATTAATGAACAATACGCGCTGTATAACTATATTCGTTAATCATATGCAATGACAATTTACTTATAGCGGATTTTATACAGGTCAAATGCATTTTCATATAATGCACTCTTTCGTCCACTCGCCTCTAATTACATATGAAAACATTATTTTTGTTCTTAACTCAAAAAATTGTATCGTCATTGCGGAATGCTAAAAAGGCATGTGGTCAACTTACCTGCTTCAAGCGCTGCCGAGCTGCAATAAGTTTTGGAAGGTTCATTTGAAGAAATTCGGCTCGTTCCGAGACGGCTTTGAGTAATTGATTGAACGCGTCCAGTTTTGTCAGCAGGAAATCACAACGCTCATCCAGCTGAGCTTTGGACTCGTTGAGATCTGCGAGAGTTAATGAAACCACAGATGCAGCGGTCGTTTTTGCCAAACTCTCCACGATATCCGATTGATCGACCGCCATCTTCACCTAAATTTTATTTTAAAAAGAAGATTTACCAATATATTCTATAATATACGCGAATCATATATATCATGACCCGTACGCGAACAGATCACACTTGAAATGAACAAAGATCAGTAAAACTTTAACCCAGTGACTTCTAACCCGCCTTATATAACGGCCTTGAGAGTAAAGACGCATTTTCAAAAACTGATGGCGTGATCTTTATGAATACAAACAAGAGATAGTTAATCTGACTAGGTTGTATCTGAAATATAGGCCCTACTTCATTTAGGTTAGCACCGAACATAGCGAGATGTTATGTTATGTTTAAATGAAAATTAACGACCAAATGTTTATTCTATTGAGGTGATGCTACACACATGTAAACAACCATGTGAAGTTACTATGAAATTAAACCGTTTTGTTCGCTAACATCGTGTCACTTAAACTCTGGCCAAGCAACTGTTTAAATCGGAGAACTCTTCCATTAGCACTGCTTAACCCTGCTTGTTTCAACTGATGTTATCTTTGTGTTGAAATTGTTTTGACAACTTACTTCGCCACTTATAGAATTATGGAACGGGTGACCAGAAGAAAGTTCATTTCTGCGTTCCTATACCATTACGCAAACCTTGTGTAATTAAATATTGCTGTGATTTTTAATCTTGATGAGGAATAGCTCTAAGCTAATTATATTGCTATCTATATAGAATACATAGTACAAACGAGTATGCGCAAGCGAAGCTTCTATGGCTACGCTTTAGTCACTCAGTGGCGGAAATTTATTTCCATTCAAATTGTGTTTAGCTTAACCATATTTTCTGTTGTGTTTATAGAACCTCCTTTGCAAACCTTCCTTTGACAAGGTAGCCTAGCACGAAGTGTACTGTGGTAAGACAAAACATTTCTCTGCTCATTCGTTCAAAGCATTCGTTTGTTAGACAAAGCATTTTTCGCTATAACTCTAAGTGTGCATGATTCAACTAAAATATATAATAATTTACCTAAATGTATCAAGTAAAAATGCAAAAGAGTTGCAGGATTGAACGTTCTAAACGCGGTGATGTTAAATTAATAATAGCATAATTTCAATTTTGCACAAGCTTACCTTGATTATAACTAAAATGCTTTTCACAATCGGACTTTTCCGTGGCTTACGAACTGTTGAAATGAGTAAAAACTGAATCGTGACACACATGAGGTATATTTATACTGTTGCGCAGTGGTATAAAATAAACAAAGCTATATATATATATATATATATGCATTACGCAAATCACACTTTGCTGCTGAGGTATTCGTTCCACTGAACCCCGTATCCTTGGGCTTTTTTGAACTTGGTATTCAATCACTACCTTTCAGCTGGCTCAGATACTGCCACGTGGCTATATTTTAGACTACCTAAACTGTTTAACCTTATTGTCACCTATCTTTAATAAGCGTAAATCCCACTTGTTTAGTTCATCCCTTTCTATCATCAACAATGCCACTCATGAACGTTTTGGCAGAACTGCATGTAATCCAATTATGGTGCGTCTGAATCACCTTAAAGAAGTATAATGACCATTAACTTCCATTGACAAAAGTAGTTTTTGGAGTTATACCTTTACGCGCAATAACAGCAATCGACAAGCGTTATCGTCATATGTTTGTTTTGTTTTAGGCGACTAGATCTCGGGTGGCCGAGATAGCAGCTGTCTGGTCCTTCAGGCTGACTTCAATATGGCATCTAAAAGTGAGCCCAAAAATGGCTTCACTGATGTAGCCAATGTGGAAGAGATGGCCAAAATGGCCTACATGCTTCTTACTGACCTTGGCTATACGACAACCCAACATGAATTTAACGAGTGAGTGTATATAAGCATTGTTATGGCGCATACTAATCATTTTATACATTTCCGTCGCTGCTATTTTATAAAGACCAGATGTGGCCTAAATACCTGTTTGTACCTTCACGAATGTATCGTCAATATATATATATATATATATGTATACAACCTTGCCTTTCATTTAATCAATATCGAATCTTGTCAATAACATACACGACGAAAATTCGTCGTGAGCTTTGTCGCGTTTCGTTTTATCCGATGCCCGTTTTGTCCGATGTGTCATGTTACGTATGGTCTAGGCGATTATTCATCATACCCAATAACGAGGCATTCGTGTTCGTCTTCCAATTCCTTCTGCCTCTGCTTGATCGAAAAGAATACCGAGAACGATTCAAATTTGTTCTTAGAGTTGATGATAAGCGCAAGGAAGCAGAATTTCGAAAAGTAAGTATGACAGCAGACAGTTAAGTCTAAGCGATGCCTAAATATTAGGGTACCTATGAATGTTGGCGTATTGTGGTGACTAATGTAATGATTTTTTTTAGGTGTTGTGCAACTATTTGCAAGATTTGGCAAAGACCGGTGAGTTGGGATGGGATGTCCCGCCGATAAAGATGGCGCTATTCACAACACCGGGTACGCATTATTTTTTTTTTTGATAGCATGAAAATACTTTATGATTAATTCGTGCTGCTAGAGTGGCTCCGACCTAATGTAGATCACCAATTTTTTGATATAATGCGAGCCTGTTATATTTGTCGAAGAGTTATTAAAACGCGGCCAAACGACTGGTAATACGCGGAGACATTTCATAAGGGCTACTGTACACCTTATTTGTTCAAGTCAATCCATTAATCAAATGAGGCTACGCTCGAAAATTTAACTTCGGCCTGTATCAGCTTTCAAAAACGTACTTCGTAGCTAACGGAATTGGCCTAACATCACACGGGCAGGGTGTGTCTAATGTTTAATTTTAGCTTCATTGAGTTAGCTGAACGAAACTGAGCATGTCACTAAATAAATTTGTGAGGTTCACCTCGACTTCGACAGATTATAACAAGAAACGTAAGTCAAATGTACCCTAATTATGTTAAGTCTGCGAAGCGGTAAGCGTCTGAATGAAGCTAAAGCGCCTTACCAATGTTAAATTGGTTTTTATTTATAATTTACAACGTTATGCATAGTACGAAAAAACCGCTATCGTGCGGAATAACATTAAAATAATATGGGCAACCACAGACCGGTGATATCTGCAAGTGCACCGACTTTTTTGTTGTTTGAAATCGTTAAACATTAACAATAACTAATGTAGATTTTATTTCAATGCTTAATACACGAAGCATTCAATTTTCAATATTCAACACGAAGCATTTTATTTTTCCTTTATTTGAACAAAACTTCCTATTTACTATATCATGCTTTTATGGCAATAATATACATATTATTGCCATAAAAGCATGATATACATATATATATATATATATATTATATATTATATATAGGTAATACATTACTTATATATTTGTCAATAAAACGATCAACTTTTTGCTTCTTTTTGAAGCATTTCAGGGTTACTAACGAAGATACATTTTCCTTCACTTTTAGCAGCTTCCCCTGCTCGCATTTGTTGCGGGAGATCGAAATGATTCGTTTCTGAATAACTGTTTGTTGAAACAACATATATCCTACTCGGAATTGTCTTCGCTGTCCGAAGAATACAATTTTATTTTTCTTCTAATATCTGTTTCTGGAAACATTACCTGAAATCATCGAAATAGGCATAAAACTAGATTATATTTGTCTTTATAAGAAACAATTCAACAAACAGATGCTAGCGCAAATACGGATTAATTTTGCTGAGCTCATCGTTCACTTTATAATTTATAAACCTTCATATGACTTCGCACGTCTTTCCTGCTACGAAGCTGTCTGGTAATTGTTAAGTCTACGAATACTGCTGATGTAAGCAACAAAAAGCATACATCGGCAATAAAAAAAAAAAGCACACGCGCTCTCCTGAGAAATGTTAGAGATTACAGAAAGTTATGAAAACCGGAATATAAAGCAATTGCAGACCTCAAAGGAATAGAAGGCTGAACACATTGGTATAAGCAAGTTACCATTTTGTTGATTTCTTCATCAGTTTTTAGAAAGCCGCTATGATTGAACGATGTGTAGATGTTTCGTTTCTTTTGTGTATCCGATACTGCCAGACTCGTCTTATTTTTCTCCTCTGACGAATCGTAATCGAGGTCATAATATTGGTCCATCCAGTAAGTGGCCCTTTGATCCGGATCGTTGTCGTCGTCGGTGGCTTGTTGATCGTTGGTAAGTGCCTGGAGCGTCTGGGAAGAGAGATCTGTTTGTGGCGTATGCGGCAATGAAGTAGTTGACTGCACTTGAAAACCTAACAGATCTTGTTGAGCCGGCTCTAGTTGTTGATTCAAGTGAACAAAAGGCTTTAAAGGAACGGTACTTTGTTGATCATTTGCGCTCTGTAGCTGGTGTGTCAAGTGTGACCCAACTACTGAACCCTCTGTAGGAGTCGAGATAGTATTGCTTTGACTACACAATGCCTGCAGAGCTTGCTCCTCTTGCTAAAATAGTATAATGCAGACCAAACAAGAAATCCATCATTTAGTTTCGTTAAATACCCGGATCTCAAAAGCAGTAGATAGAACTGCAGCATAAAGGCGTAGAATTTTTCAAGTCGTGTATATTCATTAAGTGCTCTCATTGATATCGACTAAACTTATGCCAAGTATTAATCTGTTGTCCAAGACTGTTTCGCAGTATAGCACAATCTCATTATAAATCATTGTGACACTGCATATGAAATCTCTGTCGCTAGTACGCGCACTACATCGTAGTTATTCCTTAAACGAAAGGTATTATACAAGGAATAATGCGTTTACAAATCACGCAGCTTCTGGGCCCTTTTATTATTTAACTGTTATGTATAAGATGTGATAATGCGAAGTACTATTGAGAAGCAGACTGGTTGACACGTATTTTTAACAAAACAAAACCAGTTCGGTAATTGAAAACTGACCTATTCAGAACAAAGACAAAGGCGATTGTTTTCGATATGTTTGCAGCGTTTTACTACACTTACAATATTTATATATATTGTATACAATACAATAATTACTACATTTTTTATACTGGTATAAAAATAATGGTGAAAATGTACTTCTATGTTAGAGCACTATGCCAATGCGTTCATCTGTTACTTGCGAATATCAGCGAGAAGACTATCACAAAAAAGCGAGTTCTCAATTGGTCAGCGAGTCAGGTCTCAGCTAATTGGTGCAAAATAGTTGGTTGTGTTAATAGCAAATCCCCTTACCTGTAATTCTCGGATTTCTCCTTCCGATTTCTGATAGATATCTTCGAGAGTCTCCAGTGTTTTTTCGGCGTTTCGCAATCGCCACTGATTTTTGATACAGCAGCTCCGTTGAGCACCCGCATCGGCCATCGTGCTTTAAGGGAAATTACTGTAAATTAATATTATTATTACTAACTGAAAAGTTGGACTGCAGATTGATTTATTAAAATATAGAGTGTAATTATATCGAATTTTGAACAGACTAATTGATAAAAAAGAACCAACCTACGGGCTTCTGACGCTAAGGTTTCACTTTTGTTTGACATCAATATTTACATTATAGATATATATATATATATATATATATATATATATATATATATATATATATATATGTGTGTAATGTTGCGCACACGGACGAAATTTATAATTTCGTGGGTGAGAAAACCGAATTAGGCTTTAGGTTGTTATAATCTTTACCTAAAAAGGTTACGAGCCGAGAATGGTTAATGTAGTGGTTTTGACAAGTATATAAGTAGACTGGTTTTTGCCGCAAAGTAAAGGTTTAAAAGTAAGAGGCTTAAAGGCAAATGTTTTTGCAAAAGCTGAGGGATGACCTTTTGCCTTCTCGGGCCGTCGTGAGAGTGTTACACTAACACGGACGTTGTCTTTATATTCCGCTAAGACGGAACGGGGATTAATGTTGAGATATCATTTCGTTTCCTCACGGGTATCGAAATTCAAAAACGAGAGCAGCTGCAAGTCCTAAACCAGCCAGACTAATGCGTAAGCTTTACCTAATGCATTGCATCAGGAATCTAGAATAAACCGAATGGTTATACCTCTATATCCGACAGCTTTGGTGGAAAGTAAACTTCGACCGTGTGAACCATAAAACTGTCCCGTTTTCAGATTACTTACCTATAGTTGATAATATTTTTAATAAGCAAAACAAGTATTCCACAAAACAGCTTTTCGGTAGCTTTTGCAGTGTTTCTAGCTTTTAAAACATCATTCTTACTACATCGCCTATCGATGACGTACTGCTGCTTGGAAGTAATTCCGACGAATAGTCTAAAATGACTACAATGTATATTTGAATTTAACAAAGGAAGTTCTTTGTCGCGAAAAACTCTGTTTCTAATCATTTGCAGCTGCGGTTTCGTTTACGCATATAGTTTAAATTCTTGCTGCACAAAACTAACTAAAAACAAATCACTGTCTATCACACGAACCAATCTTGATATGCAACAATTATTATTAGATGAATGCTAAATTCATACTTTCATGCTGTCGTTATCCAAATAGGCTAAAACGAATGTTAACTTGTCGTGGGCAAAATGTGTTTGGTTCTCTTTCTGACGTCATGTATAATCATAAATGACTGTCTGTACGGTTTAGTAATTGTAATAATTAATATAATAAAATAAAACAAAAATCCGTTAAACAGAGATGACTAACATTTAAACCACTGTACCGTTCATCATGATAGCTTGTGAACACTCATGAAACTTCACACAATTGAAAGAGGTAATTCGTGCTGAACTATGTGCCTTTGGTGCGCTTCTGTATCTGAGTAGCTTTTGTATGCAAAGAGCTAAAAGTACTGTAACGTTGTTCAAACGTATACAGATCCTTATTTTTGGACCGGTCGAAGCTGCGCACGTCTTTATATAAAAAAATCTCCACAATGATCAGAGCATCGTCTGCTCGATTCCAGCGGCAAAAAAAAAAAACAATGACTCACTAGGAGAGGGTGCGGTTCCACTTGCTGCGGAGATTCGATCTGAGTCGATGTTAAAGTAACCTTACGTGGAGACAGCAACATTGCCCACTAAGGTTCAAAAAACGAAATATGTTTTCATTTTGAAACCAAAAATGGACACGTCTCATTTTGTGCTGGCAGGGTAATGTACACATCGTAATAGGACACCGTGAAATTTGAAACACTTAATTTACTTAGATACCTGCCCCAGTTGCTACTACATGTCTTCTTAAGAGAATCCGCATACAAAACGAGCCTACTAAGCATAATACAAACGTTTTTATAATGTAAATAAAGCTACTGTTTTTTTTTTCAAGTCGAGCCCGCTTTGTAAGATCATAAATAACGAGAATTTTTTTCTCATTATTTATGAAGACAAGCGTATGCAGGCTGCGTCAGATCTTGGCCGGACTGTCTGGACACGCCGACGAGACAGTAACTAACGTTAGCTAGTTGTTGAAAATGGGTCACACAGGATAAATCTAGAAAGAGATCGGTCATCATGCAAACATCAGCTACAGACTGACAGCTGCGAGGCCTGCTTCGCAGTACCGTAATGGATTACCGCTAGACAATAAATGGAATTAGATTTTTAAATGGCTCTTTATAAGGAAAACCTTATAATTTGAACTTGAGGCAGTCGGTTGCTTCGATTCTTATATTGTCCATACAGTAATGTGCTAAAAATAATTGAATTTTTGATCATTTTTAGGACGAGTTTTTCGATTCGAGCACGGCGAACAATTTAATAAGACAATAAATTTTATATATATATATATATATATATATATATATATATATATAAAGGGGGTAAAAACCTAATACGACATTTTCTATAGAAGAGTTGGGTTTTGTTGTCAATTGATAGATCTCGATGAATCGGAAAAATTGCTATGTTTGGTTTCGTGCATTGAGTGGTCATGTCGACTTCCATCGGACCATGTTTATTTGAAATCCGATCGGCCGTTGTAACAATGGAATGTATATGCGTCATATGGTATTGAGCAGTATAATATTTATAATAAATATCAATTGAAAAGCTATCGTCGTTTCGTAAGCTTTTTACTCATTTTTAGATTTTTAGATTCTAGAGAAAACTACTTACATCTATCAGACAGACTATTGCATAACAACATTGCGTATATACTCTCTTAAGCACGTCTGGTGTGATTGGAAATTGTATTTTGGCCTGGTTATGATGCTAGGCTCTAGGAATAACATTGATGATGACTTGAGCCGTTCAGTGTCATCTATGCATGGTTTACCATACCTCCATATCTGTAGACAATCTATAAATTTAATTTATCGTAAAATTACGATACTTTCACGAATTTGTTCTCCCGAATCGTGAGGCATTGTCTATAAGCGAGAGTAAGCGGTAGATCGGAACGTTGTTAAAAATTCCCGATGGACAGATATTTTCCAGCAGGGAGATAAAATAGCTGATTTAGAAAACTCTCTTAAGTTGGCAGTTTTAAGCCGATTTAGTTACGTAATCTCTATATAGGCAATCATTAAGGCTACTCTAAGACCCAACGAATTTCTATTATATCGTGAGTTAGTACAATTAAAGGTGATTAAAAATGTATTTTTATAATTGGTTACACTCGAATAACACGATCTTGATAATCGCTTGAGCTACCGCGTTTCTTAGCTATCGTCAACTGTGAATGAATAGTAATCATTCTTTCTTGAATAATTATTAAACGAAAAGACCACAAAATGATTATCTCAGTCTTCAAAAGGTATTCTGTAGGTAGTTTCCATTCAAAATTGATTTAATTGATTGGTAGCAACAATGACTAATGCGGATAATTCAATTTTTGCCATTTCCACATTTGTTCCACAGAGTAGCAGTTTGGAATACATAAATATCGTTGGTGACATTCCTGTATGCTTGTTCCTTTAGGAAAAACGACCGCGAAAAAGACTGCTATGCATTTACCCTATATGCCATGAAATATTACTAAAATTAGTGTTACCGGAGAAGTTAAATGATAATTGAACTTATACTCACTTCGCGGTTTTTTTTGTAATGCAGAACAGAGCCTTGCAGCGCTGACGCCAGGTTGACATCCGAAATAGGCAGATTATTCTTCAAATGCTTATTTAGAGAACAATATACGTACATATAAAAATAAAAAGCGAGAAGGCAAGATATATCCAAAAATCTATGTTCGTAGTAAAAGGATAAGTGTTAGTGAAAGGTGTACAAGTGATCGTGGTTCTGATTAAAGGTCATGTACAACAAGGTTAGATGACAAAATTAAGAGGAAAGAGATTACACAAACAATGAAGTCAGGTCGTGAGTTTGGGATTACATCGATATTTATCTTAAATAACGTTAAAATGTTTTATTATTTTTTAATTATGGTTTCCATTTTACTACAGGACGCAGCACGTTCCTTCATGTTCTATTGTGTGTGATCGAAGCTGTGTTAAGACGTAATGCCTCGTCTCTCGGACTCGTGCTAGCTCCGATGGGCGAGTCGATCGAGGCGCTTCGCACCGGAACAGAATTTTACCAGACCCAACTTGCAGCTAATGAACAAGTGGGTACATCAATGTCGTTTGAAAAGTCTCTGTGCGTTCAACCTATTCCCTTTGATGGTGATTTATTGAACTTTGTCCGCATGGTTAGCCAAAGAAGACTAATGTCTGATGCAATCAATTTGTGTAGATAAAATTATTATCCACGCAAAATGGAATTTTCAATAAGAAAAGTTGTTAACCAAATATGGGAATACGCACTGCGCATATGTACTAAAACTAGACAGATTTTTATTAAACGAAAAACCAGAGATACGTAACTATAGCTATAGCATTAAACATGATAATATGCTAGTGTTTTGCTACGATAAGTGGTAAAAATAGAGATTGGCAAATGAAAAAAGTATTCTTGAGGTATATACAAATGACATTGTTCAAGGCTGCGTAACACTTGCGTAGAAGTTGTAGAATGTTAGTCGCGTACGATTTTGTTTCTGGGGCCAATGCTCTCGCTTACTGTTGGGTTGACGATTTAGCATAGAGAGTATTTGCCATTAATAGAAATTAGGAGTGTACAAGCAACCATCAACAGTACACAAGAAAAAAGCCGTTGGCAATACGAGGATTAACCAGTGAATTTATCTGTTGAAATTAAACTCCGTCACTTTCAGCTAGCCACGGATTGTCGCACGCAGATGCAATCTCAGATCGAGTCATTAGCGGAGGAACTGAAGCGCAATGAGGAAGCCGTGGAACGAAGTCGTGAAGAACTTCGTCGTGCACAACAACAAGAAAAGGTAGTAACGAATATGTGATGAAGATTGCTCTGTTGGATATAGAAAAAATATATAGCCAGATGATGTTTGCTTGTCTTGTCAGCGTGAATGTGATATGTTATCATTTTAAATGTACTAATATAGCACGACTAGCGAACGGAAGCAGCGCTTATAAACTTGTTGTCATTGAGAACCACTAAAATAACTAATTCGCATCTGCGGATGCACATCAGGCACAGGGTCTTTCGGATAGTTTACAGAAGTATTTCTGCGGTCTGATCGGTCTGACAAGATGTGGGGATGGTAAAGTTACAGGACGGGTTTGAGATAGCGATGGTGTCCTTGCGCTTTTTGGACTAGTGAAACGTGTCTACAAACCGATGACTGGTAGGACGGGATGTGACGATCACATGGATAGATGGAAGAATTTAATGGGAGAAATGTTTGATTGCATTGATGTCTTTTCATTGATGAAGACTCTCGAAGTGGGACGCTTTGCAGTCGATACTGCTGAATTGCCATTGCATAGAAAAAAAGTTTATTGGCTTATTGTCCATAGACCACAAGGACACCATTTCTAAGGCGTGCCGGATTAGATACTGTCCATTAGGTTATCGATTGAGCGCTGTAACACCTAGTGAGTTGTATGGCTGTAAGTGTATACAATATCTGTTTTGCTTAACTCTGGTTGTTTCTCTGCTCGTATTCATACGTGCCCCTGCTTATTCAGGTGCTAGATTCGGACCAGCGTAACTTAGAGAGATTTTCAGCATCAGTTAACCAGCTGATAGATACATCCTCTCGTTTGGCGCGGCTTCTTCATTTGGTAGCCGATGGTGATCAGACTGTGGATGTCCACCAATTGATCGAACTTCCTAATAAAGGACTGATTGCCGCTTGTCCTGAACTCCAGCCAATGGTAAGGAAAACGTAAAAGAAATGGTAGTAGTAATGACTGTGTTATACCTTTGAATATTATCATTTGTTAATAAATATTTTACAAAATTCATCTATTTCGATCAATCTTTTCTGCCAAATTGGCACTTCCGATCATTAAAGCCATATGTGTCCGAAAATCCGCGCTCCAGGTAATTGAGCTCGAGACGCAAATGACTTCAGGCCAAGTGGATCTCGTCCTGTATCTTCGCTTACTCAATACCATGATTATAGCCTTTAAACCGCTGTACGATGATGTTCTGGGCAAGATGACGGCCGGTTCCACTATTCAAGAGTTGTAAGTTACTTAAGAATATATATTGTATATACATATTCCTCTGGTGTTCGTTCCGTAATGGAAAGATTAACATCTGATGTCAAACTAAAAATAGAAACACGGGTCTATATGACATGCGAAAACGAATAATAAACGGTCGTTCTATTTTTCACACGCATCATTTGTATTAAGAATAATGATCTTTTTTAAAATCATCAATTCCTCAATAAATCGATTATATGCCCCTTACTTATTCTAGAGGCCTAGCCGCCACTGTTATTGGCTATACCTATGTGATCTAATATTATTATTATAGTCTAAATTAAATCAACCATTTCTAACGTTCTCTTTTAGGATGATTCCTTTTGCATTCATATATCTTACTACAGCCTACAATCACTACATTTACCTGGCTCGACGAGCTCCTAATGACATTATTGCTCGCGTATTTTTCAGGATCGAGCAGCAACGAAGCTTTTTGAAACGAGCAGATAACACATTGTCGCGCGTAGACGACCTCATTCAGGAGAAGGAGGCAGTTTTTGCAAAAAATATCAGGCCGGAGAAAGCAGCAGACTGGCTGGAAGCAAGAGACGAACCAGAGGCTATCACTTACGCGATATATCCAGTATGTATTATGCTTATAGAATGCATTGGAAAAAATGGGTATATCATTTATTAGGTCTTGATGGTTTACTCTAAAAAAATGCTGGATAAATTGGCACACACGAGCAGTCCGTGCGGCAAAAGAAAAATATATATGTTTTTGTTTGACATTTTTTTAAAAACTGGGTTTTCCCTAAGCAATTATGACGCTTTAGAAGTCTTTCTTAGGTCCGGTCAAAAACTTCGAAGCTTTATGTTAATATCTTAATTGATAATAAAAATGATAATGTCCCAAAAACGTTGCTTGAAAAACAGCCGATCTGTCTTGAAAAGCATTAATTTTTAATTAAAAAAGGGATTAGATGTAAATATCCTTACAATACTTTAAAGGCATAAATATCTTGTATTTCATTTCAGCCTGCGGCTGACGACCTGATTAGCCTTTATCAGTTGACGCAGATTCCAGATCTACAAAAAGACGGTAAAGCTCCCACTGAAAAAGGGGTTGCATCTTATGAAATTGATGGTCTGATGAATCCGCCGAAGGGCACTCTACGACGCCGTAAGCTTAACATGTCGAATCTCCGCTCAAGAGACAATCTCACGTCCTGCAGTGATTTGTCAGGCATTGTACCGTTAGAGCGCTTTGAAAGTACCCCACGGATAGCACATCTCAAGAAAGATGATTTGGGACAGAGGCGACGCCGAAGTATTAAAGACATCTTTACTTCAACACCAATACCTCGTTAAAAAAAATGTGGAATCGAATCGTTGAATATATTGTGACAGAAGTAGCCGATCAAAAAACTGGTTAAAAAACAGGCGAACAAAGTCCAAGCGGACAATTTTATAGAGACCAAAACGATGAAGGAGTGTTTTAACAGTTTTGTCGTTGGTTCCCGTCAGTCTCAACGGGAAGCGTAGAGAACAACAGTCTGTTGTATCCAGATAGAAGAGAAACGGCGTTGATTGAATATGCTGAGATAGACTTAGACATCTATTGCATGTACGTTTTTCCACGGCTACGTCCGCCTAAAACGCTGATACCTTCGCCAGCCGTTAGTTTTTGGTGATGTTAGTTTGGATTTTATAGTGCACGTCGTAATAAAAAAAAACAAGCCATTTTTTAGACACCTGCTTTCTTCCCTAACTACAGCGTTAATGAGAAGTTTTTGTCTACGAGAGCTTCCAGCTTTGGAAGCATTTATTCCATTTTGACAACACCTATATGTCTTAGCTGACAGTCTATTATTTCCTAAGTAGTATTAGAATAGTTGTGTACTGCGATTCAGAAAGCACCAGCTATTGGAAGTTCGCATGAAAGTACTGCTTTCGACGGGATACAATGTTTCGTGTGTCATCCCACGATGTTGTAGTGATAGCGAGTTAGTGTTTTAAACTTAAAGACGCTTAATCCTTTGACGAGAGTTCCCCTCATGGTTACCTGGAAAATTATTAGTTAAAATAATACCTATAGTCCGTAAACTAACCGCTAATTTCAGCATGCTGAAAGCAGAAGGTTGACATTTTCGACTAGTGTGCAATCGACTTTCGTGTTTTGGGTATTTCGTTCCGGTCTTGTTTTTTTTTATTAGAACATATGTACAACCGCGATTGGGTAAAACCACACCAATCACCCAGTTGGTCACAACCTTTCAACATATCTTTACATTCATGAGGCTTTTTCTGCGTTATTTTTAGACAACGTGAAATATTTAAGGAGGTGCAACTGCAAAACAAAGAACAAAAAATCAATCCACAGGCTCAATCCATCGTTTACCTATAGAGGAGATAATTTCCGAGCAATTCATGAATTACTTTATACCATCCTCATGTATCATTATGATATGGAAGGACACGTAAGAAATACCTAATATATAACTCCAGTCGGTACAGTCTTAGCTACTAAATCTGACTGTTATTTGTTTTATTATTCATGGTTTAATTGATAGCGCTACGAAACGACGATACTTCAATGAAAATCTGTGGACTACTGGCAAAGTGGGAAGTTTTTATAATACTCGCAGTAGTAGTAGGCTCGCAACAAGTTTGTTTTGAGAAACTTTATTATTATTAAAACTTTAAGTATTACACAAAACGTTTTTTGTTTTATATAAGTTACCTATGTGTAGGTAAAATATCGATCGGTAATATTTACATTGCTTTAGGTCTCTTCTATCTTACTGCCAATGTTTAGAACATTTATAACGTTCAGAAAGGATTTATTATAAATGTAAAAGGTTATGGCTAATTCACGCTATAGAAATGATTGATGTTCGTGATCCCTTTAAAGGAATAAGTACATGTTGGCTAGCATCAGATAATGAGTAATTTCAAGTTGCGGCGATGCCAGACTATGGTTAAATATAAATAGAAATAAAATAATAACTTTTAGATAATTGCATATTATGATAATAATGACAAATATAATGTAGCTGTCATATAGTTATTAGTTTGTATTCAATAGATGCCCATGTTTCACGCTAAGTTTACGACTCGAAGTTTTATGGACCACACAGGGACGCCTGTGAGCGATCGTTTAGGACTAATGATAGAAGTTCCTACAGTCTGTGTAAACATTACAGTTGTATCTAACGGATTGTAGATGATAGACCATTTTCCAGTTTGACGCTTAAATAGACTTTAATTTATTTAAAGGGTGATAGGGTAATGTCTGTAAGCCCACTCTCGTATATCTCTTTATGTTCGACTGGTTATCGTCAAGCACGGCATTATACACGTTTTATGCTCGAAATCAAAATAGCTGAAGCCATTATTTTTTTAATTGGCTTGATTTTTATTGTAGAATACAACTTGGTTAGAGGATAGTGAATAATAACCAGATTTGAACGCAACAGTGTTTCGCACGTATTTTCAAATCGTCGTCTCTAGTTCCATCTCTTTCAGTGCATCAGCGATTTGTCCGTACAGAGACAGCACTGACCCATTTCGTCACTCTATTGAACAGCCAATTTAAGTTCTGCTCTATCAAAATACTGCTTCTTAGGGTCTTAACTGTGGCATAGATATCGCCCCTCGTTACTCGACGCAGAGGAAACGAATGTAGTTGTTATGGTCAGCTCGGCGGAAACTTATTTCGATATAACTTAATTACGTTGCTCTTAAGGATCTTCAGGATTATCCTTTCAAATACGAATATTTTGGCTTGGCGATCATCAAGCTTAATCAATATGTAGCGCTTGAACTAGCATTAGAAGGGTTTCAGAATTCGATGCAATATAAAATAACTGTGAGATATAAACTGAGCTCAACTATTTCACACACAGATAAATCTTTATTCTTTTTAATCAGTGATAAAGTCATGCCAGTGATAATCTTGGCTCTTTTCTGAACTGTCACTGTGATCTTTCTTTACTCTTTGATCTCGGTCGAATATATTCTCTTCGTGATGCTAGGTTCGTGGAAATTAGCATACTGTAAGTCGATATTTAATAGATTATATTTACTATCAAAATACAACAATATAATCTGCAAAGGTTATATTATTTCTATTATTGTTAGCATTATTACTACTATTATCATGTCATTGATATGTATCTCTAATGATCTGTGGGCTATGAAATGCTAAATAAATAAATAAAGAAAGCTATGCATCCGTTCGGTTTAAAGTCACGTAGTTTGGCAGGTAAGTAAGCCCAAAATATACAAGATAACTTTATTTTTTATTCACATATAATTAAGTAGTAGAGAAATCTATACAAAATATATGCTTTTTCCTGCTACCAAAAAAAGCGCACTAGATTGCAAGACTTAAAGGCAGTCTTTATACCAGCGAGAATCGCGATCACTTTGCATCCTTAGGACAACATAATTTATTCGAAACATTTGCCTTGTTTAATTTAAATACAATCGAAAATATTGCATATTCTGTGTGACTAAAAACCCACGTTAAAATGTAATTACGCTTCTTGACACTTCTATACTTCCTAGTTTTAATTAGCTTCGCCCTGAATAAACATATTACTACAGATATTCATTTAGCGACTGGCAGTACTCGTGTTGCTGTTACTGTCACCGTTGTCATGGTCGCGGCTGTTGTTATTGTCTTACGCCCACTTAGCGGCTAGTGAATTCAATCCTTCGTCGGATCGACCGGAAAATTTCGCTTTTTCTAGCAGGTCTTTAGGCGGTGCCTGAAACTGCATTTGTCTTTGAATTTTTTTACAAATGCAAATATTGTTCATTTCATTGATGCCCCAACCCCTCAATGAAAACCATATCCAAAAATGAATACATGAATTTAAAGTAGAAAATGCTAAAGGTCATATTATCACACTATTTTTTCATTGCGATTCGAACCGACCATGCCGCGAAAATTTTCTCGCGAAAGCAGCACGGTTACGGATCATATCTCTTATTTGCCTGTTTACTGACGCTGAAGCCGATCTGTGGAAAATAAAGAATCGAAGGGTACTCCGGGAGAGTCTGATTTGTATCACTCAAACAATTTTTAAATCATGCGGGATAACGTATCAGACTAAGCAACTTCAAAACATAGCATGAAGATGATAAACAAGCACAGAAAAGTGGGTAAGCTATGTCCGAGCATACGAACACAATTTAGGAATAATTTCGAAAGCTGTTTAGGCGGGCTAGTTTATTGTGTGAAACGAGATTACATTAAAAGTGAAAAAACAAATTTTTGTCAAGTGTTACAATTTAGTTATAATTCGGTATTCAGAAAAGACGCTGTTATACGTTATATAGAACAGGCTAACAAAAATGAAGGGTCAATCATTAGAAATTGCTTTCCTACTAAGGAAAAAGGCCCTCAACGTAAATCAGGAAAGTTATTACTATTACTAGAAGACATCTTCCATGGTGTAAATTAAAGTTGTGCTTATATATATATATATATATAGAAAATATTGATTCGGACGGTCAAGCTACAATACCATGCACTGAAAAGAGTTTATGCCGTCACGCCGGCCTAATCGTTGTAGAGACAACTAATGTAACTTAGTAACTAATGTAACATGTGCGCTCGTCGTAAATAACTGTACATTTATCTTTTCAAAATCTTTTTATCTTTTCTTCTAAATATCTTGTTATGATCTAATTTTAAAACACGTATGTCTTTTTTACAGCTGGCTGTTGTTTGCCAAGTGACCTAGTCTGGTCTTTCATATGCTGAATTGGCAGAGGGTGAAAACCCAGCAACGTGCTATGGCAGTGCTAAGGATAAAATAAATAAGGATAAAATATAAATCCAGTAAGAAGCGTGTCGCTTCTCAGAGATATCCTTTTAGAGCAAACAAATTAGCATATAGCATGCTGTTGTACATATTGCGAATTTACATAAAGCATAGATTTGAAACATTTAAGGAGAGGTAGGGAAAACGTGCGTGATTCTAGTACAGTCTTGGCTCAGGCGTCTGACTTTTGCAAATTGCAGGATTTGATGTGCTGAGATTGCGGAGTGCACTCTGGATACCTAATAGCTCTGTGTTGTTCCAAGGCTTGTCTTTGGCTTCTATGCAATTGCTCATAAGTAAGTTAATAGTTTGATAGGATTCACCCAGGCAGCGATGACTTCAGCGGACGCCTGTCGACTATTGGCATAGTGCCAATCAAATTCTATCAATTTTTGCCGTCGTAAGTTAGCACATGTTTTACAGCGTAATAAACTATTATAACAAGGCTCATTTCTGTCTTGATTAAAGTGGCAATAGACAACGTTAAGACAATGCTAGGGAGGATTTCTTAACGCAAAGCATTTTTTATTGCATCTTTCAGGTCAAGAATTCGTTTGCATAAGTAGGCTAAAAGAAAGCTGTAGTTTATTATCAGTATATTGTAAAACTTCAGTATTAGCCGTTGATGTACCGGTATCTATAAATTGTTGTACGGATGACTGATATACACAGTAAGTTAAAGCGCGTATTAGCGCGGTTGCAGGGTTAGGGTAATAGAGGCCAGATAGCTTTATAATAACGAATGCTATTAAACCCAAGTGTGACAGAAAAGCAGGTCACAATAGGGTGCTTTGTTGGTTAAGTAAAAAAACTAAGCCTTATGCAGTGTTGTTAATTCAACCACTTGATGATTTCGAAAACTTACATTTGTTGACAAGCGCTTAAGATGAATAACACAAACTTTTCCTACTCTTATCATGTAGGAATTGACGCCATATAGAATGCACTGGAGCGAAGGCACCGTCCGTTGTTGACTTGCAGTTTAATGTCTCTATAATAGACTTGGAACACTTCGTCGTGAACATTTCGTCCATACGGAGAAGCTATTGATGCGTAACAAGAAACAAAGAAGGTATACGCGATTAACAGCTATAGTAGAACACTATGTTTTAGGGTCTTCCTTTGGTATATACGAGCACTACTCGATCTCGCCTTAATTGCGGTTAATTCGATCAGAGCTCTCGGAACGTTCGGTAACGCTCACTAATTTTGATCGATATTTCAAATCGTCATCAATCAAAAAATTATACACCAGCTGGTACGTTTCAGGACATCTATATCTCTATTTTCAAGGCGAATTTGCTTGCTCAATTGGATAACTATTGTTGCATCATGTTGCTATAAATTAACCAATTATTACCAGCTATAAACAACGATAAGCCTAAACTAACTGGTTTCCTCCTGCTCTTCCTTAGGTGGTTATTTTTTCACCGTAATAAATGATCAAATTATGTTAATAATCATGTTAACTCTTACCGGAGTTACAACAGTGCTTATTCCTCTGTTACCTGATTTTTACTGGAATATACTCTTTTCATGTTGTAGGCCTCGTGGCTAGCGGTTCAACTGGTATTTTCGAAATCGGTGTGTAGGAGATCATATTTTTTATAACTATATCATACTGCCAGATTGTTTCACTTTATTACACTATCTGCCGGCTACGAAGTAGCAAAGACTGAAACAAAGATTCTAAGATTCTGAAAGGCTAAAGAAAGTTCTAAACTGTAAACTTTTTAATAAGAAAACGAATTAGAAATACGACGAAAAAAAACGTGAAAATTCATGCATAACCCACCTAAAATAACCATCCCATTCCATTATTTCCTTCTTCAGGTTCGCAAGTGAGATTAATCAGAATATAGCGAAATCAGAGTGCTTGCGCCCTTCAGACATTCCACACGGCATTTGGCG